TCTGTTCTGTAGTGGTCTCTGTTCTGTAGTGGTCTCTGTTCTGTATTGGTCTCTGTTCTGTATTGGTCTCTGTTCTGTATTGGTCTCTGTTCTGTATTGGACTCTGTTCTGTAGTGGTCTCTGTTCTGTAGTGGTCTCTGTTCTGTATTGGTCTCTGTTCTGTATTGGTCTCTGTTCTGTATTGGACTCTGTTCTGTATTGGACTCTGTTCTGTAGTGGTCTCTGTTCTGTAGTGGTCTCTGTTCTGTAGTGGACTCTGTACCATACCAGAGGGAACCTGCTCCTAAGTACAGGTCTAGGATCAGCTTTCCCCTCCCCCAATCCTAACATTAACTATTAGTGGGGAAAATGCCAAACTGACCCAGGATCAGCATCTAGGGGCAACTTCACCCTATACAGTAGACCAGGGATCATCCACTTCACCCTATACAGTAGACCAGGGATCATCCACTTCACCCTATACAGTAGACCAGGGATCATCCACTTCACCCTATACAGTAGACCAGGGATCATCCACTTCACCCTATACAGTAGACCAGGGATCATCCACTTCACCCTATACAGTAGATCAGGGATCATCCACTTCACCCTATACAGTAGACCAGGGTCATCCACTTCACCCTATACAGTAGACCAGGGATCATCCACTTCACCCTATACAGTAGACCAGGGATCATCCACTTCACCCTATACAGTAGACCAGGGATCATCCACTTCACCCTATACAGTAGACCAGGGATCATCCACTTCACCCTATACAGTAGACCAGGGATCATCCACTTCACCCTATACAGTAGATCAGGGATCATCCACTTCACCCTATACAGTAGACCAGGGATCATCCACTTCACCCTATACAGTAGACCAGGGATCATCCACTTCACCCTATACAGTAGACCAGGGATCATCCACTTCACCCTATACAGTAGACCAGGGATCATCCACTTCACCCTATACAGTAGACCAGGGATCATCCACTTCACCCTATACAGTAGACCAGGGATCATCCACTTCACCCTATACAGTAGACCAGGGATCATCCACTTCACCCTATACAGTAGACCAGGGATCATCCACTTCACCCTATACAGTAGACCAGGGATCATCCACTTCACCCTATACAGTAGATCAGGGATCATCCACTTCACCCTATACAGTAGACCAGGGATCATCCACTTCACCCTATACAGTAGACCAGGGATCATCCACTTCACCCTATACAGTAGACCAGGGATCATCAACTTCACCCTATACAGTAGACCAGGGATCATCCACTTCACCCTATACAGTAGACCAGGGATCATCCACTTCACCCTATACAGTAGACCAGGGATCATCCACTTCACCCTATACAGTAGACCAGGGATCATCCACTTCACCCTATACAGTAGACCAGGGATCATCCACTTCACCCTATACAGTAGACCAGGGATCATCCACTTCACCCTATACAGTAGACCAGGGATCATCCACTTCACCCTATACAGTAGACCTTGGATCATCCACTTCACCCTATACAGTAGACCAGGGATCATCCACTTCACCCTATACAGTAGACCAGGGATCATCCACTTCACCCTATACAGTAGACCAGGGATCATCCACTTCACCCTATACAGTAGACCAGGGATCATCCACTTCACCCTATACAGTAGATCAGGGATCATCCACTTCACCCTATACAGTAGACCAGGGATCATCCACTTCACCCTATACAGTAGACCAGGGATCATCCACTTCACCCTATACAGTAGACCAGGGATCATCCACTTCACCCTATACAGTAGACCAGGGATCATCCACTTCACCCTATACAGTAGATCAGGGATCATCCACTTCACCCTATACAGTAGATCAGGGATCATCCACTTCACCCTATACAGTAGACCAGGGATCATCCACTTCACCCTATACAGTAGACCAGGGATCATCCACTTCACCCTATACAGTAGACCAGGGATCATCCACTTCACCCTATACAGTAGACCAGGGATCATCCACTTCACCCTATACAGTAGATCAGGGATCATCCACTTCACCCTATACAGTAGACCAGGGATCATCCACTTCACCCTATACAGTAGACCAGGGATCATCCACTTCACCCTATACAGTAGACCAGGGATCATCCACTTCACCCTATACAGTAGACCAGGGATCATCCACTTCACCCTATACAGTAGACCAGGGATCATCCACTTCACCCTATACAGTAGACCAGGGATCATCCACTTCACCCTATACAGTAGACCAGGGATCATCCACTTCACCCTATACAGTAGACCAGGGATCATCCACTTCACCCTATACAGTAGACCAGGGATCATCCACTTCACCCCTATACAGTAGACAGGGATCATCCACTTCACCCTATACAGTAGACCAGGGATCATCCACTTCACCCTATACAGTAGACCAGGGATCATCCACTTCACCCTATACAGTAGACCAGGGATCATCCACTTCACCCTATACAGTAGACCAGGGATCATCCACTTCACCCTATACAGTAGACCAGGGATCATCCACTTCACCCTATACAGTAGACCAGGGATCATCCACTTCACCCTATACAGTAGACCAGGGATCATCCACTTCACCCTATACAGTAGACCAGGGATCATCCACTTCACCCTATACAGTAGACCAGGGATCATCCACTTCACCCTATACAGTAGACCAGGGATCATCCACTTCACCCTATACAGTAGACCAGGGATCATCCACTTCACCCTATACAGTAGACCAGGGATCATCCACTTCACCCTATACAGTAGACCAGGGATCATCCACTTCACCCTATACAGTAGACCAGGGATCATCCACTTCACCCTATACAGTAGACCAGGATCATCCACTTCACCCTATACAGTAGACCAGGGATCATCCACTTCACCCTATACAGTAGACCAGGGATCATCCACTTCACCTATACAGTAGACCAGGGATCATCCACTTCACCCTATACAGTAGACCAGGGATCATCCACTTCACCCTATACAGTAGACCAGGGATCATCCACTTCACCCTATACAGTAGACCAGGGATCATCCACTTCACCCTATACAGTAGACCAGGGATCATCCACTTCACCCTATACAGTAGACCAGGGATCATCCACTTCACCCTATACAGTAGACCAGGGATCATCCACTTCACCCTATACAGTAGACCAGGGATCATCCACTTCACCCTATACAGTAGACCAGGGATCATCCACTTCACCCTATACAGTAGACCAGGGATCATCAACTAGATTCAGTCACAGGTAGATTTTTTTCTTGAGCGGATGTTCAGGGGGCCGGAACATAATTACAAATAATTTGTAGACTGCAAATTGACCTCAAAGGCCAAACAGATAACATTTGACTAAAAAATAATCATTTCAAACCTTGCTTACATTTGTTTACAACCAATATTTGGAACGGATTTCCTAAATTAAAATCACTTGTAGTACTGTATTGTAGTAGTACTGTAGCATCACTGTAGTAGTACTAATATTAGTACTGTAGTATCACTGTAGTAGTACTAATAGTAGTACTGTAGTATCACTGTAGTAGTACTAATCGTAGTCCTGTAGTATTACTGTAGTAGTACTAATATTAGTCCTGTAGTATCACCGCAGTATCACTGTAGTAGTACTGTAGTATCACTGTAGTATCACTGTAGTAGTACTGTAGTATCACTGTAGTAGTACTAATAGTAGTTCTGTAGTATCACTGTAGTATTACTAATAGTAGTCCTGTAGTATTACTGTAGTAGTACTAATAGTAGTACTGTAGTATCACTGTAGTAGTACTGTAGTATCACTGTAGTATCACTGTAGTAGTACTAATAGTACATTTCACATTTACATTTACATTTTTGTCATTTAGCAGACGCTCTTATCCAGAGCGACTTACAGTTAAGTGCATACATTATTTTTTTAATTTTTCATACTGGCTCCCCGTGGGAATCGAACCCACAACCCTGGCGTTGCAAACGCCATGCTCTACCAACTGAGCTACATCCCTTCCAGCCATTCCCTCCCCTACCCTGGACGACGCTGGGCCAATTGTGCTCCGCCCCAATAGTAGTACTGTAGTATCACTGTAGTACCACTGTAGTAGTACTAAAAGTAGTAGTAATAGTAGTACTGTAGTATCACTGTAGTATCACTGTAGTAGTACTAATAGTAGTAATGTACTATCACTGTAGTATCACTGTAGTAGTACTAATAGTAGTACTGTAGTATCACTGTAGTAGTACTAATAGTAGTACTGTAGTATCACTGTAGTATCACTGTAGTAGTACTAATAGTAGTACTGTAGTATCACTGTAGTAGTACTAATAGTAGTACTGTAGTATCACTGTAGTAGTACTAAAAGTAGTAGTAATAGTAGTACTGTAGTATCACTGTAGTATCACTGTAGTAGTACTAATAGTAGTACTGTAGTATCACTGTAGTAGTACTAAAAGTAGTACTTTAGTAGCACTGTAGTATCACTGTAGTAATATGTGTGTGTTTACCTGTTGTGTCCAGGCCTTTGGGTCGGGGGTTACACTGCTTGTGTCCCTGGCAGCTCCTCATCTCCATCAGCTGGGCATGGAGGGTGTTCAGCACCTCTCTATCCACTGAATACACCACGTTGGTCAGCTATAAGACACAGACACACACACGGAGGCACACAGACACACACAGACACACACAGACACACACAGACACACACAGACACACACAGAAACAGACACACACAGACACACACAGACACACACAGACAGACACACACAGACAGACACCGACACACACAGACAGACACACACAGACACACACAGACAGACACACACAGACACACACAGACACACACAGACAGACACACACAGACACACACAGACACACACAGACAGACACACACGGACACACACAGACAAACTCACACACGTTAATACATAGTTTTTGATAGACAGAAAACACAACCGGCTACTGAAAGGTATCTGGAAGGGGAGAGGAGTCCACTCACCTGATAGGGGTCGTGGTTGAGGTCAAAGTACTCGAGGAAGCCCGTAGCGAACTCACAGAACAGGGTGTTGTGTGTCTCGTTGATGGTCCTCACGCACCAGTAGGTGTTGTTGTTGGAACTGGTGCAGGCACAGAACCCTCCTACTGGAGGAGGACAGGAGGGACAACAGGGTTAACTACTAACTAGAACAGAACCCTCCGACTGGAGGAGGACAGGAGGGACGACAGGGTTAACTACTAACTAGAACAGAACCCTCCGACTGGAGGAGGACAGGAGGGACAACAGGGTTAACTACTAACTAGAACAGAACCCTCCGACTGGAGGAGGACAGGAGGGACAACAGGGTTAACTACTAACTAGAACAGAACCCTCCGACTGGAGGAGGACAGGAGGGACAACAGGGTTAACTACTAACTAGAACAGAACCCTCCGACTGGAGGAGGACAGGAGGGACAACAGGGTTAACTACTAACTAGAACAGAACCCTCCGACTGGAGGAGGACAGGAGGGACAACAGGGTTAACTACTAACTAGAACAGAACCCTCCGACTGGACGAGGACAGGAGGGACAACAGGGTTAAATACTAACTAGAACAGAACCCTCCGACTGGAGGAGGACAGGAGGGACAACAGGGTTAACTACTAACTAGAACAGAACCCTCCGACTGGAGGAGGACAGGAGGGACAACAGGGTTAACTACTAACTAGAACAGAACCCTCCGACTGGAGGAGGACAGGAGGGACAACAGGGTTAACTACTAACTAGAACAGAACCCTCCGACTGGAGGAGGACAGGAGGGACAACAGGGTTAACTACTAACTAGAACAGAACCCTCCGACTGGAGGAGGACAGGAGGGACAACAGGGTTAACTACTAACTAGAACAGAACCCTCCGACTGGACGAGGACAGGAGGGACGACAGGGTTAACTACTAACTAGAACAGAACCCTCCGACTGGAGGAGGACAGGAGGGACAACAGGGTTAACTACTAACTAGAACAGAACCCTCCGACTGGAGGAGGACAGGAGGGACAACAGGGTTAACTACTAACTAGAACAGAACCCTCCGACTGGAGGAGGACAGGAGGGACAACAGGGTTAACTACTAACTAGAACAGAACCCTCCGACTGGAGGAGGACAGGAGGGACAACAGGGTTAACTACTAACAGTGTAGTAACGGTGTAGTAATGGTGTTGTAATGGTGTAGTAACGGTGTAGTAACAGTGTAGTAACGGTGTAGTAATGGTGTTGTAATGGTGTAGTAACGGTGTAGTAACAGTGTAGTAACGGTGTAGTAATGGTGTTGTAATGGTGTAGTAACGGTGTAGTAACAGTGTAGTAACAGTGTAGTAATGGTGTTGTAATGGTGTAGTAACGGTGTAGTAACAGTGTAGTAACGGTGTAGTGACGGTGTAGTAACTTGTAGTAACAGTGTATTAACAGTGTAGTAACGTACGGTTCCAGAAGGGGGCGGTCTGCCAGTGGTCGTTGTTGTGAGTGAAACATGTCAGACCAGGTAGACTACAGTCATCCCCCTTCTTCTGCCTCTTCCTCTCTTTCCTCTCCTTCTTCTTCCTCCTGATCTCGTTCAACAGCTGGGTCTTCCCATCCACTTCCTGGACCGCCTCCCTGCATGACGGACAGACAGACACACCCACCAAGAAGATCACAGACACACCAAAGTAGTGCATTATATAGGGAAACGTGTGCCAATCCGGATACAACCTCCTGGTGCAAGGCGACGGCTACTGTGTCAGAGGGACAGGCTGATTCCATTCAGTCTGAGTCATGGTATTGGGTTCCTGCTGCAACTTGGGACGATCACTTCCAGACCTCTCTCCTTTGCTGTAGTATCTGGTTTTCTCTCTGTGTCTCTCTCCTAAAGCTGTAGTATCTGGTTTTCTCCCTGTGTCTATCTCCTTTGCTGTAGTATCTGGTTTTCTCTCTGTGTCTCTCTCCTTTGCTACAGTATCTGGTTTTCTCCCTGTGTCTCTCTCCTTTGCTGTAGTATCTGGTTTTCTCTCTGTGTCTCTCTCCTTTGCTACAGTATCTGGTTTTCTCCCTGTGTCTCTCTCCTAAAGCTGTAGTATCTGGTTTTCTCTCTGTGTCTATCTCCTTTGCTGTAGTATCTGGTTTTCTCTCTGTGTCTCTCTCCTTTGCTACAGTATCTGGTTTTCTCCCTGTGTCTCTCTCCTAAAGCTGTAGTATCTGGTTTTCTCTCTGTGTCTATCTCCTTTGCTGTAGTATCTGGTTTTCTCTCTGTGTCTCTCTCCTTTGCTACAGTATCTGGTTTTCTCCCTGTGTCTCTCTCCTTTGCTGTAGTATCTGGTTTTCTCTCTGTGTCTCTCTCCTTTGCTACAGTATCTGGTTTTCTCCCTGTGTCTCTCTCCTAAAGCTGTAGTATCTGGTTTTCTCTCTGTGTCTATCTCCTTTGCTGTAGTATCTGGTTTTCTCTCTGTGTCTATCTCCTTTGCTGTAGTATCTGGTTTTCTCCCTGTGTCTCTCTCCTTTGCTGTAGTATCTGGTTTTCTCCCTGTGTCTCTCTCCTTTGCTGTAGTATCTGGTTTTCTCTCTGTGTCTATCTCCTTTGCTACAGTATCTGGTTTTCTCCCTGTGTCTCTCTCCTAAAGCTGTAGTAGTGTCTCTCTCCAACTAAATGTGGTGCCTCTTTTTTGTTTCCTCCTCTCTATGAAAGCTTCAACAGCAGATAACAATGATAATATACTACAATGGAAGAGGTCTACTCTTAGAGAAACCTCTCATAGTCACATCAGATCCTGCTGTTCTCCGGTACACTGGCATGATGTACCCACCCAGAGCAGCCAATGGCCATTTAGAAATGACAAAGAGTTTTGTGGTCTAAAAGTTGGCCTACAGTCACTTTGGGAGCATTATACCAGTGCTTTTGTTCTATGTTTAGAAACAGTACACATATTTGGGTACATTACCGACCTCTATTTTAGACTTTTTTTATGGTGGTAGATCAGCTTTGATATTGCAGATAGATTGTGGCTTCTATTAATGTAATTGTCTGCATCAATTCCAATCCCCTATATAATGTTTTGGGGGGAAATATAGACTACATGACCAAAAGTATGTGGACATCTGCTCGTCGAACGTCTCGTTCCAAAATCATGGGAATTAATATGGAGTTGGTCCCCCTTTGCTTCTATAACAGCCTCCACTCTTCTGGGAAGGCTTTCCACTAGATGTTGGAACATTGCTGCGGGGACTTGCTTCCATTCAGCCACAAGAGCATTAGTGAGGTCGGGCACTGATGTTGGGCGATTAGGCCTGGCTCGCAGTCGGCGTTCCAATTCAACCCAAAGGTGTTCGATGGGGTTGAGGTCAGGGCTCTGTGCAGGTCAGTCAAATTCTTCCACACCAATCTCGACAAACCATTTCTGTATAGACCTTGCTTTGTCCACGGGGGCATTGTCATGCTGAAACAGGAAAGGGCCTTCCCCAAACTGTTGCCACAAAGTTGGAAGCACAGAATTGTCTAGAATGTCATTGTATGCTGTAGCGTTAAGATTTCCCTTCACTGGAGCTAAGGGGCCTAGCCCGAACAACAGCCCCAGACCATTATTCCTCCTCCACCAAACTTTACAGTTGGCACTGGGCGTTGGGGCAGGTAGCTTTCTCCTGGCATCCGCCAAACCCAGATTTGTCCGTTGGACTGCCAGATGGTGAAGCGTGATTCATCACTCCAGAGAACGCGTTTCCACTGCTCCAGAGTCCAATGGCGGCGAGCTTTACACCACTCCAGCCGATGCTTGGCATTGCGCATGGTGATCTTAGGCTTGTGTGTGGCTGCTCAGCCATGAAAACCCATTTCATGAAGCTCCCGATGAACAGTTTGTGTGCTGATGTTGCTTCCAGAGGTAGTTTGGAACTCGGTAGTGAGTGTTTCAACCGAGGACAGACACTTTTTATGCTCTTCAGCACTCGGCGGTCCTGTTCTGTGAACTTGTGTGGCCTACCACTTCGTGGCTGAGCCGTTGTTGCTCCTAGACGTTTCCACTTCACAATAACAGCACTTACGGTTGACCGGGGCAGCTCTAGCAAGGCAGAGATTTGTTGAACTGACTTGTTGGAAAGGTGGCATCCTATGACAGTGCCACGTTGAAAGTCACTGAGCTCCTCAGTAAGGCCATTCTACTGCCAATGTTTGTCTATGGAGATTGCATGGCTGTGTGCTAGATTTCCCCCTAACACCCCTCCCCTAATTGGAGTAAACTAATGGACAACACTTAGGCTTAGACTTCCAGCCTATACATACTATATACATTTTACGGAGACAGTATACAGTGGGGAAAAAAAGTATTTAGTCAGCCACCAATTGTGCAAGTTCTTCCACTTAAAAAGATGAGAGAGGCCTGTCATTTTCATCATAGGTACACGTCAACTATGACAGACAAATTGAGAAAAAAAATCCAGAAAATCACATTGATTTTTAATGAATTTATTTGCAAATTATGGTGGAAAATAAGTATTTGGTCAATAACAAAAGTTTCTCAATACTTTGTTATATACCCTTTGTTGGCAATGACACAGGTCAAACGTTTTCTGTAAGTCTTCACAAGGTTTTCACACACTGTTGCTGGTATTTTGGCCCAGTCCTCCATGCAGATCTCCTCTAGAGCAGTGATGTTTTGGAGCTGTCGCTGGGCAACACAGACTTTCAACTCCCTCCAAAGATTTTCTATGGGGTTGAGATCTGGAGACTGGCTAGGCCACTCCAGGACCTTGAAATGCTTCTTACGAAGCCACTCCTTCGTTGCCCGGGCGGTGTGTTTGGGATCATTGTCATGCTGAAAGACCCAGCCACGTTTCATCTTCAATGCCCTTGCTGATGGAAGGAGGTTTTCACTCAAAATCTCACGATACATGGCCCCATTCATTCTTTCCTTTACACGGATCAGTCGTCCTGGTCCCTTTGCAGAAAAACAGCCCCAAAGCATGATGTTTCCACCCCCATGCTTCACAGTAGGTATGGTGTTCTTTGGATGCAACTCAGCATTCTTTGTCCTCCAAACACAACGAGTTGAGTTTTTACCAAAAAGTTATATTTTGGTTTCATCTGACCATATGACATTCTCCCAATCCTCTTCTGGATCATCCAAATGCACTCTAGCAAACTTCAGACGGGCCTGGACATGTACTGGCTTAAGCAGGGGGACACGTCTGGCACTGCAGGATTTGAGTCCCTGGCGGCGTAGTGTGTTACTGATGGTAGGCATTGTTACTTTGGTCCCAGCTCTCTGCAGGTCATTCACTAGGTCCCCCCGTGTGGTTCTGGGATTTTTGCTCACCGTTCTTGTGATCATTTTGACCCCACGGGATGAGATCTTGCGTGGAGCCCCAGAACGAGGGAGATTATCAGTGGTCTTGTATGTCTTCCATTTCCTAATAATTGCTCCCACAGTTGATTTCTTCAAACCAAGCTGCTTACCTATTGCAGATTCAGTCTTCCCAGCCTGGTGCAGGTCTACAATTTTGTTTCTGGTGTCCTTTGACAGCTCTTTGGTCTTGGCCATAGTGGAGTTTGGAGTGTGACTGTTTGAGGTTGTGGACAGGTATCTTTTATACTGATAACAAGTTCAAACAGGTGCCATTAATACAGGTTTCGAGTGGAGGACAGAGGAACCTCTTGTTACAGGTCTGTGAGAGCCAAAAATCTTGCTTGTTTGTAGGTGACCAAATACTTATCTTCCACCATAATTTGCAAATAAATTCATTAAAAATCCTACAATGTGATTTTCTGGATTTTTTTTTCTCATTTTGTCTGTCATAGTTGACGTGTACCTATGATGAAAATGACAGGCCTCTCTCATCTTTTTAAGTGGGAGAACTTGCACAATTGGTGGCTGACTAAATACTTTTTTCCCCCACTGTATTTAACATTAGTTATCTATTGTTTGTTTTTAGTCCCAGCCTCATCTACCCTCAACCCCTCCCATCTATCTCTGAAGACCATCCAGTTTTGATTTCTATTTGCCTTATATTTTTCAACTGTGATGTGATGTTTCACAAAAGTTCTGAACCTTTCTATTCTCATAGTTTCTACAGAGTGTAAATTGAAGATAAATGTTTTTTTGCTAAGAGTATTATTATATTATTGATCGATTGACTATGACTTTTCAAATCACCCAGCAGTGCTATTTGCAAAGTTAGCTCCATGTAAATATTGCAATTCTTCAGCCATTCCTGAACCTGCAATCAAAAACAAGCTACACATGGACAGTACCAAAACAATATAATGTATATATATATACCATTCTATTGGTTGCAATAATTTTTTATAATCATTTAAACTGAAAAACTAAGTTTTGAATCCAGCGTCGTTTTGTGTATCAGTTCATAAACCATGTGCCATGGAATCAGTACATCGAAAATCTCTTCCAAACTATTTTGCAATCTGTATGGCACAGCTGTCAATTCTTTGGTCCTTAAATTAAACTGGTATACTTTGTTATTTATCACAATTTTCTTTAACCTCTTAAATGTAAAGTCCCCATATTTGTGGACCCTATTAGATGTTTTTTTTATTCAATTCAGTCTGATATGAGAACGGTAGCCCCTATCTGCAAAAGCAGGGTGTCTGCGGAAAGCTGAGTATCTTGGCTATTGATCTGTTCCTTAAAATATTTGTTGTGACTTACTACCATATATGGGCATACGAATGTATAAGGCGAGGCCGAGCCGATGACCTCTTTCAAGATGGCTGCTACCTACATTCCGGTTAGCATTGTGAAGCATAAAGGAAATAAACACGGAATACATTGATACAAACTGAAATCCGGGACTCCACAGATCATGAGGATATCTTATTTGTCTGCCTGTGACCTACCATTATTGATCACCAGCCCAGAGAGTCAAAATGTTTATTTTACACAACGTTTTCACCAAACAGCAAACATCTTACAAGGTAAGCTTAGATTTGGTCTGTGTTTGAGATATAGCTACAATCCTTAGGTTGGTAGGAACAAATCTAGCCTATTGCCAATGTTATCTGATGATGTATGACTTAATGGCAGCATCGAATGTCAACCAAGTGACTATATATTTGCGCATCAAAAATATGACGTTGCCTGCTTACGCGCTGAAGGCATCCACTACACAGGGGATTTGCTACTATGGCACCTTGACAGTCTTGTAGCCAATGAGATAAGCTTTCCAGGCATATGCAGTTGACCTGGGTGGGACAAAGCAAGACCTAGAACCTTTTATGCGTAATGTGAACTATTGCTACCTGGCTCAGAGACGAGACGCACCGAACACGCTCCATTACATTGTAAAAAGATTTCATCGCTTTAGCATAAAAGATGGCTTCTAAAGGGGGGTAAAAAAAAGTTTAAAACTAAGAATATTGAACAGGAAGCTAAAAAGAAGGCAGCTATGAATAATCGGACTCGGATCAGGGGAGCGATTTGGACAATGAGGAGGTCTAGAAGGATCCAATTTTAGATCTGTAAGTAAATTATTTTCATGACTTTATATAGCTAATTTACTATATGAATTTCATTTTTTATAAGTTTTCTGCTTTTTGTGCTTTGGATTTAGTTTACATAGGCCTATGTAACAGGTCATTTCAATGTTATATAACAAAGTAGTTTAGTTTTTGACTATGTTTCATATTAGTTCACTGGGAGGGTGAAATGCCAGATCTTCTGTCCAAAATGCCAGTTTGCGTTTTGTTTCCTGGCAGAGAGGGACCGCTTCAAAGACTATCTAGACATGCACAAGCTACGGTGAAAGTGAAATCTAATCATCTACACCTGGTGTGTAAAACGAACACGAATGCCATTTTGTAAATAGTGCCGCTTATTTCTATTTTTGCATCTTTTTTAGTGAAGGACATGTGTGTAACCAAGTTTGTGTTTGATAAGACATTTTTATATATATTTTTAATGTATATCTGTTGCTTTTATATTGTTTTTGTAAACAGTTCATTTGTATGTGGGACCAATACATTGGATATGCCTAGGCTAAACGTTCAGGAACTTTGGAGAGGTTGAAAAAACATTTGTATGTCCCCTGTATGTCCCCCGACACCACCACAATGTTTGAGAGAGGAAATTTAGTTTTTATAGTGAACAAAAACTTTTAGGCACATCCAGTGTGCAAAAACAGTGCAATTACCACATTCGGACACTTTGGAGAGGTTTAAAGGATACTTGAATGTACCCTGGATACCCCATAACACCACCACAATGTTTGAGTGAGGTTGATATGGTAGAAATTGTGATTTTATACTAAACAAATAGCATTTAGGGATTACAAATATGTAATAGCACTGGAATTATCTAATTTACAGACATCTGATGTGTTTCCAGCTATGGCCATCAATAATCCACTTATACCACGAAAAACTAAAAAACAGTTATTTTGTGTGTGCTTGATCTTGTGTATTCTGAACTATGTAACTCCTATCTTCTGATAATTTCCTCATCATCTCCCAGATGTCTTCTTTCCAAATATCCCAAGTTTTGGCATGTCAGAATCATGTAATTACACATGAATAGCAGTTACTTTTGGGTCTGTCTATTTAGACGGAAATCTAAATTTTGCCATTACATTTAATGTTGGTCTTTAATACTGACGCCTTCTTCAATGTTTGTCTTTAATACTGACCTCTTTTTGCCACAGTCACATAATATTTATTTTCATTCACATCCAACAACGAGGCTATACAGTACAGTCATATTTAGGCAAGTTAGCTCATACCCATATGAATGAGGAGGCATTAATAATACTTTTTAGAAAGGTAAGTAAACAGACACCAACCTCTTCTTTCCACAGTCACACTCGTCAGGTCGCCTTCTCTTCAGATGACCCCTGACCTCCCGAAGGTTCTTGATCTTGTCCTGAAGGGCCTCGATCTGCAATCATATGAAGCATACTTTCACACAGAGTGATGAGAGAGAGAGGAGAGAGAGAGAGAGAGAGAAGAGAGAGAGAGAGAGAAGAGAGAGCGAGAGAGAAGGAGAGGAAGGAGGAGGAGAGGAGGAGGAGAGAGAGAGAGAGAGAGAGGAAGAGAGAGAGAAGAGAGAGAGAGAGAGACGAGAGAGAGGAGAGAGGAGAATGAGAGGCAGAGAGAGAGAGAGAGAGAGAGAGATGAGAGGAGAAGAGAGAGGAGAGAGAGAGAGTAGCTGATATAGAAGGAAGGAAGGAAGGATAGGTGAGGGAAAGAGATCAGACAGGACTGTTATGTGATGAATAGAGGAGAGATCAGACAGGACTGTTATATGATGTATAGAGGAAAGAGATCAGACAGGACTGTTATATGATGTATAGAGGAGAGATCAGACAGGACTGTTATATGATGTATAGAGGAAAGAGATCAGACAGGACTGTTATGTGATGTAAAGAGACAGACTAACCTCCTGGTCCACATAGCTCTTATGGTCCTTCCAGGCTCTAGAGGAAGAGTAGATCTCTCTCTCACAGTGGACCGTGTCATTCATCAGGAAGTAACACCTGGGAGAGGGGCAAAGGCCTTAACTGCAACCCAGGCCAAACACCCCAAAGAGCAAGTTAAGCAGACTTTGGCTAGGGAAAATTCCCTTGGTAGGAACGATGTCATACTTGTGTGTGACCTTGACAGAGTTGGGGTACACCACGGCGTTGGTATCATCCGCCAGCATCTCCTCTGACCTGTCGTCTGACTCCAAGGAGAACTCGGGGTCCTCCTGCTCATAGTGGCGCTTTCTGATGACACGTCTCTGCATGGCTGACTGGGCGTCTGCCGCGAGGTCACTGTCATAGATCTGTCCTTCGAACTCCACGGAGAGAGATCTGGTGGGTCGAGTACGAGGCCTATAGCCTAATAGATATTATAACAGAGAGAGTTTAACACTCTTTTCTTGTGCCATTTTTATAGATTTTTCTCAGACACGACAGACACAACAAACACAACAGACAACCCACAGTGATAAAGATTCACACGATGAATCAAATTTAACATACATTTCTAACTTCTTTAATAATAATAATATGCCATTTAGCAGACGCTTTTATCCAAAGCGACTTACAGTCATGTGTGCATAAATTGTTTCTGTGGTCCTGGGGATCGAACCCACTACCCTGGCGTTACAAGCGCCATGCTCTACCAGCTGAGCTACAGAGGACCACACTTTACCTAAGTATGTTGGTATGGAGTATGTATGTCATTTTGTTTTCCTGTCATTTCTGCAAACAAATTCCCCTTTCTAGTCAACAAAGATATACTGAAATGAATTGAATGTGAAAAGTCCATTCAGTAGCAATGTCTCTTTAGTCCAGTAGGTGGTGCCACAACGTTCCAAACTACCAGATACATAGCAGACATGACAGAGCGCTTTCTAAACTCAACTACATCCACCAGACCAGTGAACTAAAGTCAGAAGGTCTATTCGTCTGTCTCCCTCCTCTGCATCGGCCTCTCTTTATAGCCCTGCATAATCCTGAGCAGTAAATCAAGGCTCTGGCAGACACAGACATGGTCATCATTCCCATAGCTATGCACACACAGGCTTTAATACAGAGCGGTACATCCACAGAGAGACATATGTTCAAATCAAAATCAAAATCAAATTGTATTGGTCACATACACATATTTAGAAGATGTTATTGCGGGTGTGCTGCAGGCAGTGTGCCCCCGGTGATGCGTTGGGCAGACCGCTCAGTACACTACTCCCTTGCCGGCCTGAACCTTCATCAGCCTCAGTCTCAACCCCAGCTCCATTCACGGCCCCCCAGAAACTGTCCCTAAGATAACCCCCTATAACCCCAGCTCCATCCCCGGTCCCCTAGAAACTGTCCCTAAAATAACCCCCTATAACCCCAGAACCATCCCCGGACCCCCAGAAACTGTCCCTAAAATAACCCCCTATAACCACAGCTCCATCCCCGTTCCCCCAGAAACTGTCCCTAAAATAACCCCCTATAACCACAGCTCCATTCACGGTCCCCCAGAAACTGTCACTAAGATAACCCAAGTCCATGATAAGACCCATCTTTTGAACATTAGCATTCTATGGCCATGCAGCTCCAGCTCAGATCCAACTCTGGTTTCCCCAGCCCCATCTCCATCTCACCCCTCCAGCCCTCATCCCTGGCCTCAGCCTCAGCCTCGTCCCCACAACCCCTGTCCCCATCCCATAACACTCAACCCCTCCATCCCCAGCTCCACCCCTCCACCCCACTCACCTGGTTCTCCAGAGGAGGGTGGGAACTGGAGGTGTGCTCGTCCCGGTCGGTCAGGACCACAGTCACAGGGTTCCATCTCCCTACTGTCGTAGCTGCTGAGAGGCCTCAGGCTCGGGGCCTCCTTCAGTCTACCTCCCTTACACTTCTGGATCCGCCACTTCCCCGTGATCTCCTCCACACAGTGCCACTTCTGGAGAAGAGAGGCGAGGACAGAGAGAACAGGGTTATATTTTAGTGGTGGATGAGATTTAGTTTTTATTCGTCCCCTGTAATGTAAAAAGGTCTTTCAAGTCATTTGTCGCATCCCAAATGGCACCCTATTCTTTGCAGCTTGTCAGAACAACACGTAGGCAGGCCGACTGAACGACAGACAGACATCCCAACCAGATCACAGACTGACGCTGTGGGAAAGATACCGAATCCTGAAGAGAAAGTGAAACCAGAACCACCATGAGATTAACTGGATCATTCTGCTGTTTTTAATTGGTTAATGTTGCATAGGCTTATGTTTTTTAAGTCATGTAAAAGTCAGACGTGGCCATGGCTTGCTATGTAAAGCAGGCAGACAGGCATCGAGGCATTCAGTTACTGTTCGATTGAATGTTAGAATGGGCAAAACTAGTGACCTAAGCGACCTTCAGCTTGGTATGATCGCGGTGCAAGGCATGCTGGTTCCAATATCTCAGAAACGGCCGGCCTCCTGGGCTTTTCACGCCCGACAGTGTCTAGGGTTTACCAAGAATGGTGCGACAAACAAAAAACATCCAGTCAGCGGCAGTCCTGTGGGTCGAAAACAGCTCGTTGATGAGAGGTCGAAGGAGAATGGCAAGAATCGTGCAAACTAACAGGCGGGTCACAAACAGACAAATAACGACGCAGTACAACAGCAGTGTGCAGAACAGCATCTCGGAACGCACAACTCAGCGGTCCTTGTCACGGATTGGCTATTGCAGCAGACGACCACACCGGGTTCCACTCCTATCAGCTAAAAACAAGAAGAAGCGGCCCCAGTGGGTACGCAATCACCAACACTGGACAATTGAGGAGTGGAAAAACATTGCCTGGTCCGACGAATCCCGGTTCCTGTTGCGTCATGTTGATGGCAGAGTCAGGATTTGGCGTAAGCAGCATGAGTCCATGGCCCCATCCTGCCTGGTGCCAACGGTACAGGCTGGTGGTGGTGGTGGTGGTGGGGTAATGGTGTGGGGAATGTTTTCCTGGCACACGTTAGGTCCCTTGAGACCAATTGAGCAACGTTTCCATGCCCCGAAGAATTCAGGCTGTTCTGGGGGCAAAGGGGGGGTACTAGATGGATGTACCTAATAAACTGGCCACTGAGTGTATATGCTGTAAGCTATGGCTATGACAGACTACAATGCAGTGGACGATTTCTACTTTATGACCTCTGCCACTGGCAAAGACAGTTACTGGAACAAAGTGGAGGAAATCCAACTTGTCAGTGTGTGGGGGAACCCCCAGGTTCTGTACATAGCATGTGAGATCATGAGGGTGATGCTTTAGTGAATGTGCACGTGTGTTTGTCTGTGTGCGTCCGCGCATACAAATACCTGTCCAGGCTGTTGGCATGGCGTCTGGAACTCTGCCTGTTGACAAACCTCTTTGACCTTCTTGTATTTGGGCAGGCTGTTTGTGTTCTGGGTGGTTGAACTGCCACCTCTGTCCTCCTTCTTCCTCAGGAGTTTTCTGTAGAGGAGACACATGAGGTGGAGGTTAGGACAGTGGTACAGGTCAGGGTTAGGACAGGACAGAGGTACAGGTCAGGGTTAGGACAGGTCAGGGTTAGGACAGGTCAGGGTTAGGACAGGTCAGGGTTAGGACAGGTCAGGGTTAGGACAGGACAGAGGTACAGGTCAGGGTTAGGACAGAGGTACAGGTCAGGGTTAGGACAGGACAGAGGTACAGGTCAGGGTTAGGACAGGACAGAGGTACAGGTCAGGGTTAGGACAGGAAAGAGGTAGACAGGTCAGGGTTAGGACAGGACAAAGGTACAGGTCAGGGTTAGGACAGGACAGAGGTACAGGTCAGGGTTAGGACAGGACAGAGGTACAGGTCAGGGTTAGGACAGGTCAGGGTTAGGACAGAGGTACAGAGAGAACAGTCCTTGACTAGGGTGGCAGTCTTTGGCAATTTTTCACCAGTCTTTAATTTCACACACAATGGTGTCATCCAGGACCTCTATACCAGGCGGTGTCAGAGGAAGTTTTGACAAAATTGTCAAAGACTCCAGCCACCCTAGTCATAGACTGTTCTCTCTGCTACCACACAGCAAGCGGTACCGGAGCGCCAAGTCTAGGTCCAAGAGGCTTCTAAACAGCTTCTACCTCCAAGCCATAAGACTCCTGAACATCTAATCAAATGGCTACCTGGACTATTTGCATTGCCCCCCCCTCTTTTACGCTGCTGCTACTCTCTGTTTATTATCTATGCATAGTCACTTTAATAACTCTACCTACATGTACATATTACCTCGACTAACCGGTGCCCCCGCACATTGACTCGGCACCGGTACCACCTGTATATAGCCTCGCTATTGTTATTTTTACTGCTGCTCTTTAATTATTTGTTACTTTTATTTCGTATTATTTTATATTGTATTTTTTTGTTGTTGCGGGTATTCTTTCTTAAAACTGCATTGTTGGTTAAGGGCTTGTAAGTAAGCATTTCACGGTAG